GGCAATGTTACACATGATTAAAACATGTCATGTAATGCTTGATGTATTCTGAAGTTCCCCAGAACATTTTATTTTGTACCAGTAGAGAACCAGCCACAATCCTTCAAAATATCTCGATAAAACTTCAAAAGAAGAAAAATAGGAATCAGTTTTTAGTGTTTTAAGAGCAAGCTCAAAGGATAACTTGTAGTTACGTGTAAGTAAAAATCTTGTTTGCCATTTGAAGATACTTTAGAATATAGTCAACAAGATAGTTTTGAAGTAGGTATTTATTGTAAACTGACTTTCACAACTTTTTGCTAATTTTGAATGTTCTGTTTATTTTACTTCCAATACAATCTCTTACCTCCACTTACAGCTATTCTCGATTTGAATGCTCTTTGTTATGCAATTTTTGCTTGCTTCTAGCATTGAAACTCCCACCTAACTCCATGTGTATAACATGTGGTTCAGCTGCATTATAGCATGCAACAATCCTCCACCAATAGGAGTGTGACACACCCTCCTATCACAGCTGACTCCCTCTATGCAGTTGAACCCAATCTTTGGTATGACAGTGTTCCGACGTCTAGCTCACCTTTTTTTCATTTATCAGGCAGGTGGTAGCAGATGATGTTCATCGAAATGGTATTTTGAATATCTCCTCAATAGGTCATCAGAACTTTACAATACTATACAGTGTTTCCCTTTATAACAATATGTATTTAATGACTGAGTCACAAGTTCTAGTAATGTCTATAAATATCATAGCAAAAAGTTCCAATTTCTTATTCTTATTTCTTCTGCTCCATTTTTATTACCTGATAACTCAAAATCCAAAACAATGGTGTCAATCAATTTTACTGAGGTGACATAGTTTCAAATGGAGTATCTGCTTTTATAAGTATTATTAATAACTAGTAATAATAAAAAAAGTCATAATTCTAGTGTAAATGAAGTTATAATTACCCCTTGAAGTTAGTTTTCTTACAGAAATTTGGTGTTCCTTTAAAAAGCTTAAGTACAGAGTGAAACAGGCATTACAAGCCAATAATAGATAAACATTATATATTACAACTGGAACCTCATTGTATTTAGAACTTGTTTATAAATAGAACCTACCTATGTCTATTGAAACACTGCATTAAAAAAAGAAAGCAAACAAGTAAAAAAAAACTAAAAAAAAAGAATTAATATATAGCAATATATTAATTGAGTTTAATTTATCCTGTTTTTTCTGTTAACATTCTACTATGCTATGTGTCTGTGCTGTTATGTAGGGATGATGCAAATGCCATCTTTACTATCTTGTTTGCATTGTTTTTGAAGGATTGATATTAGCCATCCCTGCATTTACTTCCTTTTTTTTAATTTTTTCCTTGTTTAAATTTTGCTTCATTGCTCTTGGTTTTGGAACTTCGATGTCTAATTGCAATTTCAAAAATTTTCACCTTTCAAGCTTGCAGTTATTTAACTTTTTTTGAATTTATTACTTTCCATTCCTGTACTGGTAATCAACCATGGTATCATGTACTCCCATTTTTGAGTCACAGCCATTACTACTTCTGACGCTACTGGTGACCAACCACCTGGTATATTGGCTTCAGGTTCAATGTTTTTGACTGTAGGAGAGGGAGATGGCTTCTTTCATGTGGGCTGAGGGGGTTTCCTGTTCGACAACCCTTTTTCTCCTTCCCAGGGAATTCAAACATGAAGACGAGGATTTGGACAGCCTTTTTCCTCAAACTTTGGTCATGCTGAGACCTTCTCCCTTTTGGACTTGGTAACACAGTAGGTTCTGTTTTTGTCTTCTGACCTGAACTATCCCGTAACCTTTTCACTACAGCACTGATTGCTGATTATTTTGTCTTTTGCCCTTCCCCTGAAATTGGGGTAAATGATGAGCATTTGACAATCATTTGTATTCTGTGGTTCTTATTTTTGTTTATCATCATTAGTTGAATCCTATTTTGGTTAATCCACAGTTGTATTCTCTCCCCCTCTTTTGGGTTTTGACCCTAATCCCTCTGCCTTTTTCATGGGATTACTCTCCTGTCATTGTGTTATCCTCTTTCTTACCTGTTCCCCTCTCATGAGTTCTTTCATCATAGTGTACTCTTTCTTGTTCACTGTTATCCAGCATGCCCCCAATGGTACCTGTGACTTTCCTGTGAGTTCCAGTCCAGTTGGGGCCAGGCTCTTTTGTTTTGTCTGTATTTGGGAAACGTTTGCCACCAACCCTAGGATTTTTTAGGGTCTGGTCCTCAGGACTCTATATTCCTTTTCTCTCCTCCTCCTTTATCTTCCTTCCAGTCCCCTTTTCTCCTCCTTGAGTTCCAAACAGCATTTTTCAGAGGTGATTCAGGAATTATCTTCATGGACACTATAGAACTAGTTATTCCTACCATACCACGTTTCTATTCCTGTCTTTTGTAGTCTCCATAAAGATCAAGGTTTAGTAATCCATTTTAGTTCCTTCTGTCTGAACTGTTCAATGGAGGTTTCCCTGTTCACCATGGAGTCTTGTCTGTCCCTTGAATGGGCATTTGTTGCTGGTCCTTGGACGAAGAAGTTTGACATGTTCGATGCTAATATCCACATCTCTATATCCCTGACATCCCATTTTTATCTTCACTTTGTCCATGGGGAACGTGTTTAGCAATTTTGTTTCCTTTCTTTTCGGCTTCCTCAGATGTGTTGGCTGGTCAAGGTGAAAAAGCTTGCTGTCTTCCTAACCCAATAAATTGTTTCGCTTGGGGTGTTCTTCTATTCCCACTACAAGGTTGCCCAGCCTTCTCTTCTTTGTCAGTATTCTATGGAGCTTTTAATTCAGTAGGCATATTCCTCACATTTTCTCCCTGCAAGAGTGGTTCTTTCTCTTCTGGAGACTTGGGCTTCCTTGAAGACCACTTCCTTTGGATTTGGAATTGATATCTTGTTCCACCCTATTTTGTGACACAACACCTATTGGCTTCAAATGGGTGATGAGTATACTTGGTTCAGATTTGCGCAGTCTCCCATAACTTTCTTTCCTCTACATAATGAAGGCATACTTCATGGGTGCTCTTTAGACACTTCTGAAGGGTGTTCTTCTGTGTATCTTTATACCAGTTCCTCAACCTGATCAATGTGTGATTCTAGCTGTGACTGTGAGAGGAGGTAAGTGATTGTATTGGATGTTAATATTTTCCTACATTGAAAATATATTTCCGATAGACTCCTACTCCTCTCACACTTCCCACTTCTGATGTCGATATTTTTTTGTCCTGTCTAATCTTGAAGTGAAGATTGGGTTTGACTGCATAGAGGGTGTCAGCTGCAATAGGTAATTGTGTTGCACTCCTATTGGTTGAGGATTGTCACATGCTTACTTGCATGCTATAATTAGGGGCACGTATCTCATCACAGTAGTTGATATGATACATAACTAGATATTGATGCTGCGATATGATACATATCTAGATATAGAAGTTTTCCAATGGTTTGTTACAAAGTTTAACAGTTTTGTCTGTAATTTATTTTGTATATTACTAACATTGTCTTATTTAAGTACTTCACACATTACAGTGCATTTTCAAATTCTCAGGTTTAATCAACTGTAGGAGGCAAGAGAATTAAAATAAAAAAGTTAATATCTGTCTATCTATTTTGTTATTGTTAATTTGTTATGTTATTTTGGATATAATGTTCTTAATAAAAGAAATGAAGACAAATGTAGTACTCAATACTTCTCTTCCTTTATTGAATCACTAATTTTCATTAGAATATCTTATTAGAAATTCTGAATTTTTCTGTACAAAAGACTTATAATGTTTACTGAAAGCTTGCTAAATTTCATGAAGATATATAAATTGTATCATATCACTGTATCATCACACTTTTAGCTATAATGCAGCTGAACCACACGTGAGTTAGGTGGGAATTTCAAGACTAGTGGTGAATGAAAAATTGTGCAATAGAGGGCAGTCAAATCGAGAATAGCTGTAATTGTGAGAAGAAGGAAGTATCTATCAGAAATATATTTTCAATGTAGAAAAATATTAACTTTTGCAAGCATTTTTATTGAGAGTAATATCATTGAAATGTTAACTATATTGACTATCTCCGAAGTTTTAAAGTTTGTTGTATCCACGAAACCAATAATCATTGCTTTACCATATTTGGAAATCAGCTACAGTAAATAAAAAAGTTGCTTTCAATCTTGTGCAGGGTTTATTAGTAGATAGAATTTAGATGTATATTTAAATCTATAGTGAAAATATTTTTAGTTTTATTTTAAGGATTTGATACCTAAAAATATAAAATTGTTTGTCACTTACAAGGTTGTATGGCCTATTTGAATGGAGGAATATGTGGGTTTTGCCACTAAGTGGCTGTTTACTTGTATAAAATAATGGATTCCTTGGAAACTTGAGAATTTGTTAAGTATTGCATGGCATTTTAATCAAGTGTAACACTCAGATCACTAATGGTAATTTGTGATAGTTAAGCTGAAAATGAGGTGTAATTGAGGATTTGTAAGACCTTATGCATTTATCATGGTATACAAAAAATTTACATTCTAATTGTAATTTATTCATTTAAGAAATCTATTCGAGTAACTACATAATACATTACAATTTTCAAACTACCTGCTTAATAAAGGAGTGATTAACATATTTTTTTTTATTTCTTTTGTGATTTAGATACAGGTGTTAACTGGATGGTCATAAATTTGAAGTTAAACGTACATAACTTATTTCACTTAAAGTTAAGCATTTGTATTGTAAACAATGGGGTTATTATTGTTTACATGTTGTACTGTCAAAGCAATATGCAAACAAAACATTTCATGTTGTTGAAAGCTATATGATGGTAAACAGGATCAAAAGTGCACCATGAAGTTAATTTTAGTTTTCATCTGTTAGACACATTATATAACAATTTTCTCCACCCCCCCAATGTTTAAAAGATATAACATTTTTTTTTTGGGGGGGGGTATCTTTAAATATTAATTCAGTTGTTGTTTTTCTTTTGTTAAGTTTTGATTTCTGTACGGCATCTGTTGAGGATTCTCCTGTGGAAAACTTGGGCCAAGTGGTGTTTGGAGAACGAATTAGACCATCTTTGTACAAAGTAAGTGTTTGTATGTAGTAAAACTTGTCACTTGCTTAACAAAGACATGATGATTAGGGCACTCAAATCGCAATCTGTGGATCAAGAGACTGAACCCTATCACTGAATGTGTTCATCCTTTCAGTTGTGGGGGTGTTATATTGTGATGGTCAATCCCCCACTATTCTTTGGTAAAAGAGTAACCTAAGAGGTGGTGGTGGTGATTACTAGTTTCCTTCAATGTAGTCTATCATTTCAAAAAATAGAATTTTAGTATTAAACTTTTCTTAGTTTCTTGGTGCATGTCATTACATTTATGTTTTTGTTTTTTCAGTCACTGATTCACAATACATTCAGAATAATGTAATGTACTATTAGGGTTAAACAAAAAAATTATAAAAACCAACCAAACAGTATAAAATGAGGTGTAGATCCATCACAAGTATCCAAAACTGCATTTACTTGATGTGGCAATGTGTAAGCAAGGTCTTTGAATCTTTGTGATATTGTATATTATCATTCTTCCATGAGAACAGTATCTAATTCTTAGAGAGATGAAGGAAGTGGAAATTGACTGTGAAATCTATCTTCAAGAACAAACTACAAAGATCCTTATGACATTAAGATAGGAGTTCTTTAAACCATTCTTTAATAATTTGAAACTTGTGTATGGGTGTATTATTCTTCTGGGATGAATCATTTCCATTAGGATAATAAAAGTGCAACATGGGTAATATCTGATCTGTAACATTCTTCAGGTAGAGATTTGTTTGTAGACTGTCCTTAGAGAAATTAAAAGATTTGGTCAATGCTCCCAAATTGTAGAGTAGACCATAAGGGAGCTACCGATTTCTTTTTCATAAAGATTCAAGCAGTCAGGGTTGCTACACCCTTTTGGCTGCTGCTTTGCATAAGGATACCCATTTCCAGTTCATTACTCTTGTATCCACGCTTTATGGGCATTGCACCAATGAATGAAACAACGTACTTTAGTAGGTGTAGTCTGTGGATTGTTATCTGGCCATGATATTTTGTTATGTTCTCTCTGATAGAGATTGATACTTGGTCGGAGTTACTTTTGCGGTTCCTTTCACTTTTGTTGGTGTAGTTTTTGTGTGTTTTATACAATCCTGGATAATGCCCTGCAGTCTCAACCACACATGAAAGTCTTCCATACGTTGTTGTCCATTGTGTTTGAAGCTTTGCAGGTTGAATATTATCCTGTCACCACCCTGAAGACTGTTTCCATCAAAAAGGATGTTTTCATGTCATTGTTATGGTTAGTAGCCTATACAATCACATTAGTTTAATCATTAATTGCTTGCTAATTTTTTGTTGCAATGTACTTATTACTAATTAATTTATATCCTGTTTTGTGGTTGCTAATGTGCTGCTACATTCAGGGAAGTATTGAGGACCATTTGTGGTGATAGGGTCCTAGATTCAGTCCAGTGTCCTCCTGTTAGAAGAGCTTGTGTTTTATCAACTCATCATTACAATGATTAATATTAATTTGAATAACCTTAGCAAAAGATTGTCATGTGTTTTTTGACAAAGCTTCATTTTATTTTTAAAGATCAGACTCCATAAATGAATTATTTTTTACCTAAATTCAAGGTTAGAAGATGTGTCTTCACAGGTGCAGTTTGTAAGTTTATTTATTTATAGAAATTATTTTGTTGGGACACTATAAACATTTTTCCAATTTTTTGTATACAGTGTTGTTAAATATCCAGACAAATCATAGTTTTCTTACTGATAAGTATGAATGATAACAAGAAATAGAAATAATAAAACATCTCTATCCTAATATCTTCACTCAAACTGCCCACAAAATAAAACTATAAATTATATTTTTAGATATATATAATATTGTTTTGATATAAATTTTATTAACAGTTGTGTTGGATAAACTTATAAAAACAAATTGAAACTGCTTATCCTAATTTTGATTTTTTTATGTTTAAGTTATCTTTATTGATCACATGCTTACAAATAGTCTAACTATATTACAGTTTTTGTAATTTTTGCTTTACAAAAACTGGTAATATTTGAAACTGTAGTCTTATGGTGGGAGCTTAGAAGTTAGCAGCTGGGGGTGTTTTAAGACAATTGTAAATATTTTCTAAAACAAGTACAGAGGTAACTTTTTTTATAAATAAGGTATATTAGTTTTAACAAATATACAGACTATTTCACTCCAAAATGGCATCAATTAAGTAGGTAGTTGTCGTATTGCTAATACACCGGTGACATAGTACAAGTCATAACATGAAAATTGTCCTTTTATTTTGGTGGGCAAATCAGCTGAGTATGATCTTTGATCATACCAGTTCCCATGAAAATAATTGCCTTGCAAATTTTACATTATCATACATCTTGTGACAAATGAGTTTTATATATTGTCAACATAGGACTGATTGGCCTTGGCATAGTATGTACTGACTTTTCATTTCTACAGCAAGACATAACAAATTTTTGATTTACATTTTTGTTGAATGTATTAAATTTGAACTAACTTCTTCACTATTAACACTTGTTAATAATTATTAATGCTATTTTCAATAAAAATATTAAAATATGTAACATATAAATTTAAAACACATTTACATTCAAACTCAGTTTTTCATAAATTAAAAAGTAATAAAGTGATTCTCACAACACATGAACTTCAAATAACCACTGTGTAATAGAGTTTGGAAAGTGAAAGCAAAATTAATAAATAGCTTTAAATTAGTGGTTTAAATAAAAATTAAAATTAATTCCTTTTGGTTATAGTAATCTAACATTTAACAAATCAAATCAAAGTCATCAATTGAAAAGTAGCCAGATACCACACAACTACTCAAAACACATTATGAACACTGATCTGTATGCAAAAGAGGTGGTTGAGATATTTTTTTATGATACATTTGTCTACAATGTGACCTCATTTTTAGCTTGATCTTTAGTCATGAATTCTGCCTATCATTTTGTGTTAAGGCAGAAGTGTGGTGTGTGTGAGTGAAACCAGGCTTTCTCATACTGTACATTACCTCTGCTCACATAAATAACTATTCACACTCAGTGCTGCCCTCTATATGCAAAAAAAATTGTATGCCACAATCCTTGAAGTTTCCACCCATCTTTGAATTGACTGATTCAACTGCGTCCCACATGCACATCATCATGTGACAACCCTCCACCAATATGAGTGCGACACATTCTTGACGCACGTGACTCCTTCTTTTCAATTCTACCGAACTATCACTTCTCGTTTGGCAGTACTCGTGTTGTAATGTTTAGTTTGTGTTCTCTTCAAGTGTTTTATTATTTTTTTCTGTATCTTTGTATCAATTTCTCTCAACAAGTTTACTATTTATTATACAATAATGATATTTGTAACTTGTTGAGTTATTCCAAAGTGAAATTATTTTATACTTCTACCTGATTATGAAACTTATTACTTCATTACAACAATTTTTTATTTCTTTATGCCAAAACAGTGGTGTTTAGTTATTCATATTGAATTATGAATTCTATGTTACGACTCTGGAGGTTATATGTTCTGTCAGCACATTTACACAGGCTTCAGGTGGTGGTAGTCCACGGGGAATTTATTGGGTTTACTTCATCAGGAGATGGATTGTCTAATGAATGAATAATGTTGGGCCTCACCTCGAGTTTGTGGGCCCACATATTTGGAAATACAGTCTGCCAACTGTGGAAAGATAAGACATTATACTGATATGGTTTTTGAATAATTTTATTGTTAATATTATTATCTGTAGTTATTTGGGTTCCATAAGATAAGTTTCATTAGATTGGTTGATACTCATAGCCAAGTACAGGTTAGCAATTGGTCTTAGTTGTATCTTTTCTCCTATACCGTGGTCTTTGTTATTTTAGGATTACCTGTAATTCATCTTACTGATTTATCAATCATTAATTTAACTATGTTGTTTTTCTTCCACACATCACATCTCATACGTATGTTCTTGTTACTACACACTTACTTAATTTCATACAATCACGTCTATTCCAATTTCGGTATTATTTATAATTTATCCTTCTTCCTATTCACTTGAGCTGGGGTCCACATAAATTTCTACCAATATTGTACATACTTATTGTTAGATTAAGATTTTACTTTTAGTGCTTAGTGATATATTTTGTTTTGTACTGTTCAATTAAGCTTTAACAAGTGTTTGTTATTTTAGATTTACTCATAGTTCTACTTTTGGGTTAATCAATAATTAGGTTAAATATTTTGTTGGATTAAGTTTAACAAGTGTCTATTATTTTTGGTTTATCCATGGTTCTATTTATGGATTAATTGATAATTAGGTTAAATATCTTGTTTGATTAAGCTTAACAAGTTTCTATTTTTTCAGTTTACCCATGGTTCTATTTACGAATTAATCGATAATTAGGTTAAATGTCTTGTTTGATTAAGCTTAATAAGTGTCTATTATTTTCAGTTTACCCATGGTTCTATTTACGGATTAATCGATAATTAGGTTAAATATCTTTTCTTCAACACATAACATCACATACATGTGTTTATTCACTACACAATTTCTTGACATTTCCACTATATTGACCACTTCATTTTCTTTTATATAATTTATAATTCTTACCATTAATTTTTTTTGTGAGGGCCCTTGGGGACCTGGGTCTACCCTATCTGCTCCCAGTATTGCTCGTTTTCCTCCTATAACGGCTGAACCCATTTTCAGATGACCTAGATTGTGTCAGTTTTCCTCCACCTTATCATGGATTGCCTTCCAAGCCTCTACTGCAGAATCTGCTAGGCCTATCTCAGTTTTTTTTAAACATGTTTCACAGTATATTCCCCTTCTCATTACATTGTTTCATGATGATTTTTTTGTCTCTCTTTTGAGAGTGGATACTTGCACGCCTGCCCTATACAGGCTTTAATTCATTTTTTGCCTTAGCTTACCATCAGGCAGATTTTCTTCCTGATTTTATGTCATTCGCATCTCTGTTAATACTATCCATTTTATCCCTTACCTAGTTTTTTAGCTTTGTTTTACCCTATCGACTCTCCTACAGTTAATGTTTACCTTTCACCTCCTTTCTTTGTTGTTCTATTCTCTGCTTTGTGTAGCTGTTTCTTTCTTCTCAGGGTATCGTCATCCACCTGTTGCTATTTTTCACTCTTTTATGAGACTGTGACTGAGTAAGTTACCTTTTAGTATATATATTTCTTATTTTTCAGGGGCATGTCCCTCTTTTTCTTTCTGTATCCCACTCTGTGGCAAGTAGTGTCAGTTCAGGTATACTTAAACTAGTTGAATCTGCACTGTAAGACCATTTTGACTAACATATTATGATTTCCATGGCCAAAAAACTCACACTGCTGAAATGGGGAGTTCCATAAGATCACTTGTAGGTTTATCTTTACAATATATTTGATTCATTAGTTTGCCCATCCCAGACTACACTCACCCATGAACTACATGGGTAAAGCAGAAGGAGATAGCTGCCTATCCCTGCCATTCCTTGTATTGAATAAATTGGTATGGTCTGCTTTTCAAAATAGGGTTTCGTGG